ATGGTTACTCCTTTGAACTCCGGTTCCTCTACATTTGGTATTCCTGGCTAGGAAATTGGGAGGAATGGGAGAGTGCGGAGGAGTATGCGTTTGAGATTTGAATCCCTTGTTCGGTATCTTGATGTTTATGTTCATGGTGTATGTTGAGAAGTGGACGGGAAAAAATGGGAGGGGGGTTTTATAGAATCGTTAGGTAGGTGGTGTTTGTAATGTGGAGTTACGATCCTTGGGGTTGGGTCATGCTATGTATGTATTTGGCTGTTTAGGAGGAATTTTCGCAAGACAAATGATTATGAAGTAGTATTTATAATCGAGGGGATTTTAGGATGAATGCCTGATCATCTTCTTCTTCTTCTTTTTCTCGCTTGGGTTCTTCGTCTTGGTGGTTTCACCTTAGTGTTTGGTGTATGGTTGGGAGGTACAACTTCAAAGTCTGCAAATATTCTTGTTCTTGTTACGATTTCTGATTTCCGATTTGGAATATCTTATATTCTGCGATTGGCATGTATGATGTATGCTGTAGATGCCACGTGGTAGATGTGCAGAAGTCGGGAAGTTTCACCTAGTTGCATATAAAAGAAAATGACTACTTGTAGTCTGAGGTCTTGCAATTGTGTGGTGCTTGTAGGTGGTGTTAATGAGAGAAACGCTTTTTTTCTATTGTATTGTGTTACTTTGAGATGGACTTGGGAAAAAGAGAAGATGAGCGGATATTTCTGTGGGTGATGAAAGCTACAAGAATAAGAGTGAGGAGCATGAATATTGATATCGATGTGGCTAAAGTTGCTATTGTTGGCGTTTTTACTGCCGTTGTATTCATTTCTTGACTCGGGATTGTTTCTTGTTATCAATCAATCGTCGAAAGTGTTTCGGCTATCATCGTTTGTCAACATTATCCTTCTTTACACTATCTCTGTCTCTATCACGCCTCCCTTTTCAACCAGAATAACTCTTGCATCTAGAAATAAAGCTCACATATCTTATACAAACAGATTGGAGGAGCAGTATGGTAATGAAACTGTGCGTTTCTTCCCTTGTGATCTTTGGCTAGAAGAAATTGTGTGTTTGTAGAGAAAGGAATACCTAGGTATGTCTCGGGGTAATTTATAGAAACATGTGGAAATGCAAGAATCAAGATGGAGAGGAAAAGGTTTGGAAGCATAATTCAAAGTGATGAAATAGAGGTATTGAAAGGATTCAAGGGGAGAGAGAAGAAAAGAGGATATGATAGAGTTTAGATAGTTGTTTTGATATCTTAGTTTTTGGAGAGCAGAGAAATGGGTATATAAGTATCTCTCCTTTAGTCATTTCATAACCTCATGAATCCTTTAGTGAAGTGACTGTGCCAATTCGGGGACTAATGATCTCTTCTCGGCCTCATTGGTTGATATTTGGAAATAACTCAAAAAAGCTTGAGAGTGAGAGAGAAATTTGACGTGGAGACGCAGATAGACTTGAAGTTTCAATGGTACTAATATTCATCTTGTTATTGCCATTTCTTGGATGTTTACAATGTCTTTTTTTGTTGCTGTTTTTTGATTATGGGATTTGGCTCCAGGAGATGCTATCCTGCGGGCTCAAGCCTTGATTTGGCCGATACGTAGATGATGCTTCAGACGCTCGTATTGGGTTCTTATTGTCTGTTTTCAAGATTTCGAAAGGGAAAACCCTCATTTACTTTCAAAAATTGAGTGAAGGGGAGTAGTGCCTTTATATATATTGAGAATATTACGAAAACCACCCGGAAGACTTTCTGGTGAAGTGCATGTCGGATGCTTGGTGATATGCACTTCGCTTCTCCTAGTTTGTATCTGATAATTCTCTACATATATTTGGTGGCTCCTTTCGATGTTTTGAATTCCTATAGTGAGATTGTAAAGCTCCTCCAAACCGGAGAAAAAGGACTAGATGGTTGTATCGAGATTTTGAGTATTCCTCGGATGATCAATGAATGGTTCGTTGCAACGAATTATGGACGAACTTGTGTCTGAACCTGCATGAGGCAAACTTCGTCTTGTGTTGTTATCCTTTATGAACGTTCGTATTGATAAATACATTCCCATCTGTCATCTTCATTGTCACATATAGCTTCACAATCACAGTTTTTTTAACCATTCCCATAACCCGAAGATCATACTACGTTAAATCTAGCCTCATCACAAGCACTTCTGAAGCAATAACAGCCCTTCGAAAACATCGATTCTTGTTAAATGTCCCTTGCATGTAGTCGCATTGTGTCTAGGCATTGGATATAGGGCGTGGATAAGCAAAGGAAGAATTTGTGGGCTTTTATAGGAGGCTGTGATGATATATGATGGAAGGAACGGCATGAGATTGTGAGTATTATAGTCAGCTTGAGTCTGCTTTCTTTTCTATTGAGATTTGGTGTGAGGGACAGAAACTCCCAGTTTCTATTTCAGATCGTTGAGGTATTCACTGGAGATAGAATCAGATTGTGGTTGCCGTCAAGCGATGCCTTCCTATTTTCCCTATGAATGTATATAAAACGTACCACTACTTTCATAATTCCTAGTTCCATGGCATTTCTAACACCAATAACACTTGGCACACAGGAGGCAGATACTACTGTTATTGAAGTCATTATATTGAAAATATGCATGGCTGCGGATGGGATTACATCGAAGCTCCAGTGGAGAGAATACGAGCAGAGTGAAGATGAAATTTTATTGTCGTTTACTTGGTCGACTGTCAATCTTTGTTCTCATCGTTGGTTCTCACAGTCATTTTTACTTGGTCCCCTGACTAAGTTTCTAGTGGAGTCATTTATTAATGCCTGCGAAACTTCTTGCCATACGCATATTGAATTTCAATACTTCCAGGTCATCAATTGTGATCGTAGTCAACCATTCGGAGGATTCCCATCTCGCTTTATTGGCATACTGATTAAGCAATAGGGATCTTATGAGCTGTTTTATACAGTTGCGTTGAGAAGATTCGACAACTGAGACGAGAGAAAGTTTGTGTCACATCAAAAATGTGATTGTAGGATATGAGTGAGCCATCAGTTTCACTCCGTGGATCGAGGGATGAGATTTAGTAGGCGAGGCAGGGAAATTTTCGTCCCGATCACATATTTTGTTAAGTCTTAACTCTATAAAGATTGAGGTTCCATTTGACATTCAATCTCACAATTTTCTTTGCAATCGCTGCTGCACGCCGTGAGGGTGCTAGTCTCAGCGGAATTCGGTCTCAAAATAACAACTTTTCGATGGAGCCAGGAACTCATTTTCTCCCATTCGCATGAATAAATCTTTGCAAATTTACGGGATTGAAGAAGATCGGAAATTTGTCGCTGTCGTCAGATGTGAGTTGGCTGATTTGTTACCGTCTTATATTTGGGATCATGAAATGAACCGTCATCATGTCTGCCCCTTTTCTTCTTTTCGAGACTTGTGTGTTTGTGTCGAGTAGGATAAATGTCAACATGGTGTGTTATAAATCAGAACTTTATGGTGCTTGAGAATCATAGTTCCCAAATTATTTGAATTGTATTTATATGTAGACCAGACACAAAAGGGGAGTGGATAAGAAATTCACGAAATAGAGAAGTTAATCTCTCCGGAGAGTCAAGATTGAGCGGCAAAAGTTTGCTACAGAAATATGTACTTTGCCTTTTAATGTGATTACATATTCCAGATGGAAATGGATCGGAGATTCCTAATTCCTGTCATCCCTTTATCGAGTGAAGGAGCCACATCTCATGCCAAACTTTGGTACTTCTGGGTGTATTCAAGTAACCATACTACTAGTGTCTTCCATATACAAAGCATTTGCAAATCCTTCCATAAGAGCAAGGTGATGCCGATGTTAGCTTTGCTTCTTCCAACTAGGAGGAGAACGTGTTAAATACAATGAGGCTACTGAGAGTGATTATCAAGGAAATGTAGAAGTACAGAAAATGTTGTCGTTGATTCAAAGAGCGTTCGTTGATAGTTGATCAATACTACCACTTAACATTTCTTCGCTGATGGTCTAAGAATTCTTGTTATCATCAACATTGGTCTAGTCACTCAATTTATCCCCGCGATCTTGAGCTGTATTCTTTCAAAGAAAGTGAAGTTCGGCTATATTTACGTGTTTCCATGATGTTCAGCTGCAATCAACAGACAAGGGACGTCAACAAGTATTCAATCTTAGGACCTTGATAGAGAAAACCGATATTGAGATTTTCGTCATTAAATGTGCTGAATTCTGTTGCTTTTTTAAATCCGGCGACTTTTCTTTACGTGATCGTCAACCAAATCAATCTATATCTGGTTTTTAGCCAAATAGAACTTCTTCCAAAACTGTATAACTCAGTTTGTAAATCTAGCGGTCAAAAAACTATTCTTGATTGCATTTCGCAGACAGTTGTGGACTTGCTTCCCGATGTCATGCATTTCGTGGACTCAAAGAGTTGCTTATGGCTGATGAAATCTGCTCACACGAAAGTCATAGTCTGGAAATGCTAAGAGAAGTTGAATCAAAGGATCAGGAGCAAGGATTCATCGAAACATGCCGTAAATCGACATGTGATTCTTTGTTCGCCACGTGCTCAAAACTCCTCCCATTTTTCTTGCCCTTCAGCTTTCTATCTCTGATTGGGATTCAAATGTGGGATGTCATAGCTTTAAGTTCAATACGCCAGAGAGCACGCGACTTTGGAATCTCCCGTGGTTTGAAATAGACTCTTTGATAATAATTTTATTTTGGGTGATTGGTAACATCCGAATGTGTCGGCCTAGAATCTAAATCGACCTCGCGTAACTTTCCACATAGCCTAGATGGCCTTTCCCATGGGGACATACCATGAACACTTGAAGAGACAATTATAGTGGAGAGTAGTTGAAGGGTGACTCCGTTACAGTTCATGATGAATTGTGCAATAGGATATCAGAATGCCTTTGATTATGCTTGACCGGATTATAAATTCAAGCCTTTTTGCCTGAATTATGATGCCACAGCATGGAAAATACTCTTCATTTTATCTTAACAAAACCATGAAGCTGTTATATGCAGTAACAGCTCTCTGCCTTTTGGCTAGCGAACGACTAGTTGAAGCTATAGCCACACACAATGATAATACCGCACAGTTCTGCTTTACAAGATATAGCTCCGAGAGCGTATCTTCTATTCCGACTACAACACATACATTCAAAATTCCATCATATACTATTTCTACATATTATCCTAGAGATTTGATAACAGTCACGCCCTCACCGACAGTAACCACAACTACTTCTTTTTTCGTGGCCACGTCTACGCAAATTGGAGGAGCTACCCAAACTGTCACAAGCAACATCTTTTCTACGGGCACGGTCATTCAGACAACAACCTTGTTTGAAACAACTGAAATTGGTTCCGCTGTCACTATAACAGCCGCACAATCAACTTTGACTGTCCCCACGTCTTCTGGATTTCTTCCTCTGGCGAACGACCCTTATGTTATAGCCAATGGAGGGGCTGGAGGGGTCAAAAAGAAGCGCAGAGATATCAGCATCCACTCAAAGGTCAGTAATTGGATGACAAATTATGAAAAAATAAATTGCACTAACCAGAAATACACTTTCTAAGCCAACCGGCTCCAACAGCCGCCGCTATCCCTACCATCATCCCCACCAAGCTGCTAACTCAGAGGTGGTTGATTCTTCAACTTCCGATCCTAGGGATTCCGATATTGAGGCCAAGCCAAAGAGGTGGTGGTTTGATTCATGGTGGACAGGCAGAAGATATCCTTCCTTAGTATATTGTCGAGAAATCGTCAGGGTTGTCTACACTCGAACAATCACTCTTCAGACACAAGGATGAAGTACCACAACTTTGCCTCCGGAAGTCGCAACTTCCGTCATACTATCAACGACAACACAAGTCATTACATCGGCACCATCTACCACCACAACAGTTGTTCAAATAGAAAATGTAACCTCAATAAGCACCGAGAAGGATTTGATCACTCACAGTTCTCCAACTACAACAACCACGTTCCCACCGCAGGCTACACTATATGATATGTGTCAGGAGAACAACATAGTAGCAACCGTGGGAGGGGCTACCATCGACTACTCTCTGCCTAGTTATGGCCCATCCAGCCTTCAACTTCACTGGACATATATAGCAGATCCCTATGTGAAACCATATAACTGCTGTGCTATATGTGCACAGTCATCTACATGTGTTGGATATTACTACAACATAGATACAACTGCCAATCCTGGTCCTGCTGTGACTTGCTTCACTCACGAAGCGACGGATGGTGTTTGTGATCCTTCTGGAATTCGCTATGTCTTCCGCGCAGATCCTAAGCGCAAAACTCTATCTCCCGATGTAGTAGGAAATGGAAATTGCGGCAAAGGACAACTTGATACTGGGGCTAGACCGACCCTGGATGGTAAACTTTGATTCTTTGTGGCCAATGAATTTTAGGAAAACAGAAATGATGGTTGATCGACGGATAAGGGTGTAGTATATGGATTTTTCGGTGTCTCCCCGTTCTTAGACCTCACTTGGGTCTTATATATTAAACCTTTGAAAAGTAGGAGCCAAAAAGAGACAATCTGGAGTTTTGATTGCATGTGATTGAATGTTGGATGTAAGGAATGCCTTGAGAAATGAAAAGCAACCACGTATTTTTATCTTGTATTTATCTTCAAAGCCAAAGTATAATTAGGAGCAGTTGCTGCTTACCTTCTAATAAATGGAAACGCAATAATGCGTGTGGGATCCCACCTACAAGGCTCATTGATTTTGCATTTGTTCAGCTTCTCTGTCGTTCAATGTAAGACAATTTCCCAGATGATTTTCAAATTTGTATAGTCTGGAGTTTTGAATCTCAATCGTCGAAAAAAGTTTTGCCAGATTAAATGAATTTCCATTCCAAAATATATACAGAGAGAAGCAAATCCAGCCCAAGTATCAGTACATTTCCGTATTATTCATCACCATCTATTCACTTTTCTCAAGCTTCCTCAACAAAACTCTAGTTCCATGCCTTGGGATAACCATTGTGGTATATCCCATGGTAAGTGCCTTGTTATCGTCCGCCAATTTAAATTCATAGTTGGTCAATAAGTGCGCCAAAATTTGTTTTAAAGACGCGCTCACGTACCAACGGCCGGGACTGAGGAGCCGTTAGTTCTTGCACGATGTATAAAACAAAGGGATGTACTCACCAAGCTTTCTTACTAGCCCCCCAAAATGGAAATCCACTACTAACATCCGTATACTTCATTCTGGGTTCTTCTCTCCCTCTATCCTCCGGTAATACAAATCTGAAACCATCGAAAGTTTCCGGATCATTGTAATACCTCGGACTCTTCATCAAAGCATCCTGAGGCACCGCAATAATATTCCCTTGCGGAATGGTTTCACCACTCGAGAATGTGAATGGTTTCATTACTTTACGTTGGATGGAAAGTGCATCTAATGGATTCACACGAGCTGACTCGCGGAGGAAAGATTCCATCAAAGGCATGTTCTTGTACTGCATTTCCTCGGGTAAGGATAGCATGGAGCGGATTTCTTCAGTGAGTGGTTCGATGTATTCTGGGTGAAGACAGAGGTTGTAAATTGTGAAGGTCAAAACTAGAGGGAGTTGATGGGCGGAGGCGAAAGTGAGGGCAATCATTTGTTGGACAATACGCTCCACGGTGCGTTGGCGGGGAGTTGTGGATGACTCCTAAACGAGGTTAATGATTTTCGGTCAGACAGTGTGAAATCAAGATTCTTACAATGACCCAAGTTATACAATCAGACTGTGATTGACAAGGTTAGCAAGCACTTTTTGAAAATTCTCCATGATAGCTTACGGGTAAAAATTTCTTCTCTTCGATATCTCTGAGGCGTTGAATAACCAAAGGTCTTATATGCCCGGCTATCTTCTTCATTGCTCCACTCCAAGCCATAATTGCGGGGCAGGCGTATCTAAAAAGATCAGAATTGGGTATCCAAAAGTGTAGACATTGAGGTACTCACGGAATAATGAACGCAGGCATGTAACGACAGAATTCCATAGACAGAATAACATCGTTCGAGTATCGCAACACGGCATCAACATAATCTTGGTTGTTGGCTATGCCCTTGTTAGTGAAACTTAACATCAAGCAGAATCCCGGCGTATAGACGCACCAAGTTCATCTCCGACAAGCACTTGACAATTGATTCTCAAGCCGATAGCCTCAGATAAGCCTAAGACAGAAACTGAAGTCCAATCTACGTTAAGTTAGCAAAGCAATTTCTTTAAGTAGTTTTTACAGTAAGTTCATTACCATTGACAGCTTTTCCTTTTGATAAAACTTTACTAAAAGCTTCCTCAATCTTCTCCTGAATTCTGGGTCTCAAAGCTGGTTGATTTGTTCTCAAAAGGAACTTGAGAACACGCCCTGGTATAGTATCATGAGGGTCGATCTCTCCGGTCTCAAATCCATAAAATGTGTATTTCGCTTTGACTCTCTGTGCATTACATTAGTTCAATCCTCATGGCATACGGCATTTCCTCTAAAGAGTGATGGAGAAGACATACATCTTCCATAGCATCATGTAGGGACAAATGGTCTTGAGAACTATCGTTCACTTCCGCAATGTGCGCCTCAGACGAAACAAAGACTTGATACTCGTCGAGAGCGGGGATAGCAAAAGGCTCTCCTCTGGCCTACAATCCGGTTAGTTTTGGATCAGGCATAGACTTGGCATTGAGATATCAGACTGCAGTACCTGATCATATGCTTTCTGGATGATACCCGGAGCACCAAGGACATATTTTATGCTGCTCAACCATTTTCCCCAACGCAACTTGGGTCCAGAAATGAGTATGTTACGCTATCAAAGTTAGTGAATGTTGACATCGTGAGAGATAAAGGATAACTTACGGGACGATTGCGGTAGATGGATGCTGTGACATAAATTCTATTCAGAATGATCAAAATTACACAAGTATCAAACACCACCTCTGAGGTTATTCTCCAAGCACCCGCTTGAGAGCGAACTAAGTCAAAAAGTTCCTGAAGCATTTTTGATGATACAAATCGAGGTTTGAAGATGGCCGACACGAAAGATCATGAGAAGAGAACCAGATGTATATTGCGTGGCAAGTGTCCGAATCTCATTCTTAGAGAACTAATTTCCTCATTGGGAAGGGTGGGGGCGTAAAATTGTGACTTCACATCAGGCAGAACAGATGAAATTACCATACCGTACTCTAAGCCGTGCCGCGATAGCAGACATACAATCGACCGCGATGTGACAGAAATAGCCGCTGCCAACTTTCACAAGTGATGAACCGATTGTGATATTAAGTCACATATGTGCCGGAAGCACTTTTAACTCCGAAATACTCCACTAGATAGTTCATTAAAACTTAATCGTTCCTTCACCCCAAACAGGCACAACAATTTGATGAGCGGGGCGGACTGTTTATAGTATGAAATATAGCTTCGGTAGTTAGCCCGTTTTAAGAAACTCGCGAAGTTGTAGTGGAGAAAAAGTTCGTACCATTGGGATCAATTTGATCCGTGGTGCATGAAGTAACTTGAAGCCTACAATAGTGCGATAAATATGTCTGGGCGTGTGAAGTACGTTTAGTGTGTGTGCGCATCAATTAAGCGCAATCGATTTATCTCGACCATGTTCCTGGAAATTGCGCACATCTTCTACCGGAGGATTCTAACCTGGAGAGATTATGTACCGTGAAACTCGTTAATTTGGACGTCATCACAGTGGGATGAAATATCGTTGGCCAAAATGAATGTCGAACGGAATATTTTTGTTTAGTGCCACGTGCGGCTAATGCGTTTTTTGACGTTCAGGGGTAATAAAAAAGTGTGGTAGAGAACATGGCACTGGGTTTCCACAACCAGGGTTAGGGAACGATTTTCTTCAAGGGAGTCGAATTACGCATGGTGAAGAATATGTCAGCGTAGTAGTCAGTAGTGGTGCTCTTATCCGATATGTCCAATCGCCTTTCAGATATTAAAGTATGGTTGCAATGGGTATAACGTACATCGACATAGCGTGGGACTGGACACTGGTATTGCAGTATTGGTGCATTTGATATTATTTCTCATAATACAGATATTAATTTGCAGCGTACATGTTGTAGAGTGGGATAACAGGCGTGGCGTGGCGGCGTGGTTGCATTGCATAGTTGCATAACCTTGATAGCTTAACTATACATAGAACGTTTAAAGTAACATTGAAGGGATTGATTTCTAAAATCAGCTTTTAAGTTTTAATTGCTGATCATTGATCAGCAAATTCTTGCACTTTTGTTTAATCAGCCCTCGTAAACATCTCAATCAGCTCACCAGCTCAGTTTAGCGAACGTTCAGAAAAGCGGTTCTGTGTTTTTGTGCTGTGAGTCTAGCCGAGCTGAATTCACCAAGCAAGCATCTAGCCCAGGCCAGGTCAGGGGTGGTTTGAACCAGGGTATGCGGGGTATGTATGCGCCCGGGATTTCTTCGTGGGGTGCGGATATTCTCCAACAGCATTACTTGGAATGATACCTAGGGGAATGAAGTTGTTAGATTTTTTCTCGAAAAGATTTCCCCTGCAAAGTGTAAGCTTTTGAGAGAAGTTGATTCAAGATTCTGGGGCGAATTGTGGTGTGATTACTCATCCATGACAGGACCAAAGAATAATCCAATCACTGTGACATTTTGAAACTTGGGGACCAAGACAAAAGGCATATGTAGAAATATCAAAAATCTGGGTATTTGCTATATAATTTTTTAGAATGAATACAGAACAACACAAGCCCCTAAGAAAATCGTAATAAATCCGTTACGCATGTTATAATCCTTTCCTCGACTGTTCCAACCATTCCCACATAACCCATAAACCATACAATATATACAAAATTGAAATCTAATTAAACGTGTTCATGGTAAGTTCTCTCGCGCTCTGGTGTCGTTGCGAGCTCATGAGTAACCTCATATCGTTGCTTGACCCTGACATTATCCAATGGAAGAATGTTTTGCTCGCTTGTTACACTGCTTCCTCCATCGGTAGGACTCTGGCTATTCTTCGAATCCCCCGTTCGCATATAGCTGTCTCGACCGGTAAATGTATCAAGTGTTACCCTCAATCTATTTTTTCTGCTGTTCTTGGGGTAGATTTCGGAGCTCTTTGGTGGAGTATATTTGGATGGTTTGACATTTTCTTCCTTGGAGAAGAGACCGCGAATAGAGGCAAGGCAGACAACCACGATTGCTGGAAGAGAAACATAAATTAGATTACCAATTACGAAAGAGATGTTTTGGAGAATTGGCTTACCGATTGTAGTCTCGATCGCGGACCACATGTAGAGCCAAGAAGTATCAGGCATACGGGTCAATGAACTGACGACTGTAGTTCGCACGATGGCGAAGATGACTGTGATAAGAGCTAGAGAGAAGATGATACCAAAAGCAATCTTTCTCTTCATCTTCATTTGTGTACCCCACAGCATACTGATTGGAATAACCATGACTATGAGAGTTAGTTAAGCCTAACAGGGAAAGAAGAAGAGAACTCACTCAAAGCATCAGAAACCACATCCCAAACACAGTTTAACTTCAAAGTAATCTGTTGGAAGTTTACCGCAGAGTCCGTTGTACATTTCGTTTCGATTGTAGTCAATGGAACAAACAAACAATGATATTGAATTGTTCCAATACAAGCAAAGTAGGTGCAGATAGTGAAAACAGTGATTGGCCACCATAGGAATTCAACCTTTGCAACATGCGATCCAAGTCGTCGAATGAAGAGCAAGAAAGAGAACTTGACAGACCACAAAGTGGAGTAAAAGAGGATGATGACGACTCCAGATGCTCTGGAATAAGCCTCACTGTTGGTAACGAAATCTGCTCCAGGCATTTTGATCCCAGCTGACACGGCCATGAGGTCGAACATCGCCTGGGCATGAATCTGCCATAGTATTGCACTGGCAAGTGCGAGAGCCAAGGCTAGAAAGGCAAAGATATCGTCGTTATAGAGACTTTTGAAGGTCTTGATTCTAGAGAATGTCCGTAGGGCCATGCAAATTGCAGCTATCGCGAAACCTCCCCAGATGACACCCTGAATGATTGTTAGTTGAGGCTTCCCCAGTTTCTGTGGATACAACAAGTGCACGTACCAGGAAGGTTTTCATATCAACCTTTGTTGGCTCAACAATAGCCCCTGAGCTCGAAGTAGAAGAAGACATGGTGTATAATGAGTCAACCTTGAGTAAGTTGGTTGCCTATGCTGAATCAGTGGAGGAAAATTGTCCACGGTACGATAGAAGAGAGCTTGCTTTTTAAACTCTCGAACATGGAGAGAACGTGGTGCTTATCTACTGCCACTGGTTACAGAGATGCCACATGGAAATCAAACAAGGATGAGGCACAGAGGTGGGGTCTTTTCCATCACAGCCTTTTAGGATGAGGTCTCCGTGAATTCTATTGAATCTGCCCACTGTGATCAGTGAATCCACTGTGCCATGCCTTTATTACTGCAAGGTAAGCCCTAAATTAGTAAGGTAGTAATTCTCTCGATACATTCTGGTAAAATTTCTGCAAGAATCTCATGGTCGGTCGTCTATCTCACGGCCAAAGCCTGTGGGACCCAAATTGCGTTAGCCGCCGAGCTCATTACCCTGTATGGTACGTGAATACCCCTCCGGATCCTTGGTTTCACTAGTCAAAAACTCAAAAAACTACCATTTACACAGTATTATTCTGCCAATCCTTCATTTATATGCTTATCGAAATTTTGTGACAGGAGGAGTCACGGAGGAAGCGTGTCGAATTCTCATTTCCAACCGCCTGGATGTGAGATCGGCGTGTGCCTTGTGGCCAGTGCGTGTAATTTATGCAATCACATAGGCCAAAAAGTCCACCTGCCTAATATGGGTCTACCTCCGTCCCAGCATGGCTGAGCTTGATACCATGGTGTTTGTCGCATATCTCTCATGCGGGGAATTTTAATCGGCGATATTACACGTTTTGTGAAGATTGTGCTATTATGTGCAAGTCTGTCTGTGAAGACCACATTTTGGGTTTAAGGTACCAAGATTTCGAAGGAACCGTTGTCTTGGGTTCACAATCCTACCCGCCATGTGTATGGATGATGTCGACACTTGAGCGGCCTGTTCGTCTGACAGAGTTCCTGACTAATAATACTCAATCGCTTAATATCGAGGTCTAGAATGGCATCTAAACAAGACCACTGGTGGACGCAAAAAATGATGACCTCCTGAACCTCTTGCGTGCTGTATCACTCCATGTTAAATTAAAGCCATATGATATTGTGGATGAAGTGTCAACGCAGATCAATTAAGCAGGGAAACTCAATTATTCAAGCACGATACAGAAATCTCGTCACCAGTATGACATCGGAAAAAAATGTTAAATGGTTGATGAAATTCAATTGTTCCTCTCCGCGCTCAAAAAATTGTTAAAAATATGTACATAAAAATAGAGACGAAGCTGTAACAAAGCATCTTATGAAACCCCCTCATTGAATCGTTCCTACCCCTCCCTCTTAGTATAGGTTATACTTCTCCCTCTCGGTCAAATCCATGAACACATCCATGTTTTTAACTGGACCTGTAATTCCGAGCGAAGGTGTGCTCTCATCCAAGACCGGAAACTTTCCATTTATCCCAGGTGCCAGCTTAACATCAAATCTTCTGAAAATAATAGCAACAAAAGCGTAAACCTGCTCCTTAGCCATAACACGCCCAGGGCAGTAACTGATTCCACCGCCAAATGGGCGGTAAGAAGAATGTTTCAGCATGCCCTTATCTCTAACAAATCTCTCTGCATCAAAGTTCTTATAATCTTGACCCCAGACACTCTCGTTCATATGTAGTTGTCGGGAAGGCATGAGAACATTAGATCCAGGTTGCATTAGCTTGTTACCAATCATAGTTGGCTGCTTGACTTGACGACTCATCATTGCACCTCCGTTCAAGCGTAGTGATTCTTGGAATGCACCATCAAGATTGGGAGAATTGGCACATAGATATTTGATGTCAAGCTCGCCGTCTTTCCAGCCTGCTTCCAACTCGTCGCGAACTCGCTCCATAAGAGGGACGTTGTAAACAAGATGAGCGATAAGCCAAAAGGAGATGTTGTACTCATTTGAGTTCGCACTATTGATTGTTAGGAATTTACTCTTATATATAGTAATCGGTAAAACTTACGCCCAGTAGATCAATAAAAGCATGCAAGCTCTACTCTCGATATCAATACCAACAATTTCCTGTGCCTTAAGAATCGTTCCAATTCCCCAGGCTTGACCCTCACGCTCCTTTTCTGGAAGACGAGCAAATTCGGCCATTGTCTTTTGCATTGTTTTGCGGGCTTTGGCTACTTTGGCTGAGAATATGTCGGGAAGACCGAAGAAAACCATCCAAGCACTATCATTGAAGTCCAACATGTGCTGTACAATATCTGGATTGAGCTTGTGGAGAGCTTTGTCGAACATGGAAAAAGTTGCAGCTTCCACAAGGGTAGATCGACAAAGAGCTTTCAATGAGACCCGACGAGTGAGACCATTCCTACTCAAGGTACAAAAGTCCATCTTTGGTGGTTGGAGGGAGTCTTTGAGTGACACGATGAATTTCTCTGACATTTCCGTCATGTGCACACCAGGGAGTAATTGTGCAATGTAAACTTCCTCAATGAGTTTGACTAGAGATAATTGCTTTGGGTTGACTGGATTCTTATGCATATAGCATTTGTCTCCTGGAATGGGTACATGCCATGCCAACTTCAATGCTTTGCCAGTGAAGCCAAAGTTAGAAAGAACTTGAGACAAGTGACCATCCCAACTCAGAGTGGCTACATTTCTGTAGACTTCTGCTACATCCTTAGGTCCTGTAACAATATAGAATAATTGCGAAGCCACTTGAAGTGCGAAGGGCTCGTGGGTCCTGCCAGTGTAATCTCTAAAGCGCCATCGTTAGTATCATGTTCCAGAAGCAATGAATACATTAAGACGAGTGAGAAGATGAAAATGAAAATGTCAACGTACAAGCCACGCTCGATCAAGCTATCAGAATTACGGAAGAAACTAAGACTGTGTCCGAGAACTAGATAGTGTTAGTAAAGGTTGGAGTAGATAATTAGAAGATCACCTACTTGGGATCCAGTATGGAAGTTCGACGGGGTCTTGTGGTCTAAGGTATGGCCGAATGGTAAATCTCCACAAGCGCCATGAGAGAAGCCAAGTGCCGAATAGTGCTGCTGTGAGGAAGTACTGTGAATACTCGCTTGTGGATACAAATCTCCAAGCTGCGTTGAGAAACATTGTGAGATAGTCTACTCTCTGAAGAGCTTTGTGGACTTGAGAATATTTGGAGCAAAGACAATATGCGTGTGAAAACGAAAGTAGTGCTTGATGATCTCTTCAATTGGAGACCCAAGAGGATCGACATAAGTAGATATACTTTCTCACTTTTGCCTCCTCCACTGTTGAACATGATAGATTCAACCCCCAAGACAGGACTTTGCCGATACTAGTCGCATAGCGTTGATTGTGCTATGGGGTTCTTGTTCAAATTTCCAGATGCGCGGTCCCCAGATTGGTCCATCACGTAGGCGTCAATTGATATTGAGATTCTGCCTTGAAATTCAATCACAAACCACTATCACGAACTATCATGATGCGATATTACCCAAATGGGACACTTCCCGGCTGTTAATACTTTACGAGATCAAGTTTGTCTGCATGGACCACCTCTTCATACCAAATTTATATTGGAAGCTAAAATATGCGCACTAAGTTTTAGTGTTACACAAGGTGACAGGGGTTCTAAAAGTTCCACCTTGTCGAATTTTATGTCCACAGTGTATGATTAATGTTGTAGTTCCGTAGATAGCTTGCGTATCAAAATAAGTACCAAGCCGGATATACATCGTTTACCCTCAGGCTTCAGCATAACTTCGCCTCTTATGCTGAGATCAGCTAGAAGCGATACTATCTCTAGTTAGTCAAGCCGTATACATTTTGGGGAGTAATCATGATATCCGGCAAAATACCGCCGCTGAGCAAACGGTGAAGGCATTCTATCACTCATGCCATGCCATGCAATTTCTTTTCAACCAAGAATGGAGAATGGTGGGTACGGGGTGGACAAAATTCATGAGGTCCAAATTGCTGAAGCTCTACGTCCATCTTTGATTTCATATACAAAAAGCATTTTACGCCACCAGACAAAAGATTGACGACTTCAAGTGCTTCACAATCATCTACCAACCATGACATTGAATCAAGACGAAGCTCTGTCCAGCAAGGACACTATCTCTATCGATAAGGATATGGGCGCTCTGGCCGTTACGGATGTTTCAAGCCCCGCAAGCCTTCAAACATTCGAGTCCGATGAGCTCTTTCTTCACTCATGGCGTCTGGCGGCTGTTATAGGGTCTTTATGCTTGGGAATCTTTCTTCTAGCATTGGATATGAATATTATCGCTGTTGCCATTCCCAGAATCACATCTGATTTTCATGCATTGAATGATGTGGCTTGGTATGGTTCAGCATATCTTCTTACCGTTACGGCATTCCAGCCTTTGTTTGGCAACCTGTACAAATATTTCGATCCTAAGATCGTTTATATGGGATCAATAGCTTTATTTGAATGTAAGGCCTTTCACCCTACGAATTCATTCAACGATATCTGACTTGACATAGTGGGTTCTATATTATGTGCGGCAGCACCTTCCTCCAGTGTTCTTATCGGAGGCCGATCTGTTCTTGGTTTCGGTGCAGCGGGAATCTATCAGGGAAGTTTGGCCATCGTCAACTTCGTGGTAGAACTCGAAAAGAGACCTATGTACCAAGGCATAGTGATTAGCTCTTTTGCTATTAGCGTGTGTATTGGCCCTGTGCTTGGTGGTGTCTTCACTGACAAAGCCTCCTGGAGATGGTGCTTTTGGATGTAATGGAGTCTGTTAATCTATGAAATTCAACATATACTAACAAAACTATAGTAATGTACCTATGGGTGCTGTTGTACTTGTATTCATCATGCTCTTCTTTCGAATCAAAGGCGTACGAAACTCGAACCGTGCCTTGAATCTTTCAACAAAATTGAGACGTATGGATATTGGAGGAGTCCTACTATTTCTCGGGGCCATATATTGCCTTCTTCTAGCATTACAATGGGGCGGACAGACTGCACCATGGAAATCGCCCAAAGTCATTGGATTATTCGTTGGCTTTGGCTTACTCATGATATCTTTCGGTATCCTACAATGGAAACGAGGCGAACATGCCACAATTCCCTTGCGAATTCTTCGACAAAGATCAATTCTGATGGGCAGCATATTCCTCATGACATTTGGAATGATGAGTTTTGTCTATGCTTATTATCTACCCATTTACTTTCAATCCATTCAAGGCGTCACAGCAATCCAAAGCGGTACCCGATTCATCGCGATAGTCCTCCCTCAAATCATCGGTCTTTCGCTGACTGGAGTTGTGGTTACAAAATGGGGATACTACGTTCCATATATGATTCTTGGAACGATTATTGCAATGATCGGTGCGGGCCTCCTTACCACCATCGATACCAATACTTCCACGGTCAAATGGGCCGCATATATGGTAATCAATGGCTGGGGAACTGGAATGGCGCAGCAGCTTCCATATACTGCACTACAAATAGTATTGAGTGAAGAAGACGCTCCTACCGGAAATGCCATTGCGGTGTTCATGTATCAGATTGGTTCTTCCGTCTCTGTATCCATCGCACAATCTCTCTTTTTGTCAAGGTTACAGACCAGTGTACCAGCTCATACCACTGCTGTATCAGCAGAAGCGGTCATTAAAGTTGGTGCCAGCGGTTTAAAAGACTTAGCTGATGGCTCAGAAATTGTGTTGACTGCCTTGAGAGAAGCATACACCATTGCTATTAGAGATGCAATGTATTATGCTTTGGCTGCGGCATGTTTGTCATTACCATTTGCTTGCGGAATGCAATGGTTCAATCTCAAGAAGGTTGCAGAGGAAAGGAGAAGAGAAAAAGACGAGGGGAAGTCAGTTGGGCTAGAAACCTCGGTCATGATGGACAGTGCGATTGGTTCTGAGAAAGTTTGAATTTTATGAATATCCAGATATAGAGTGTAATCATGGAATATATTAATTTTACTATGTCCTTCCTTGAGCGAATCTTCAGCTAGAAAAATTGACTTTGCCTTCACCAATTTTCATCGGATGGATTAGATAGAAAGTCATAAGCATAATTTCTCATTTCATTCTGTAGTAATGCAGTTGATATGGAGTTTCATTCATAATTCATAATTTCTGTTGCGCCATCCGAAATGCAAATCTGTCAGTCCAGTTCCTATGACCCATTGCCATCCAGCCCATCCAGCCCATTCAGCCAATAAAAGATCAGAATGTAACCAAAACCCTAACATAAAAGCAAAACCAAACCGCAGCCATGATCGTAACTATATTCCATATATCCTTCTGCCCGCACCAACGCCATACAAATGTCGAGACCCCCTAGGTCTAAACTCACAAAACTACATATGTAGTTGGTCGTCGTCGAGAATACCAAATTCCCGTCTGATACTTGTGTTAGCTTCAAATATCTACGAATGCTTTCAGCGACATAGTACATACCAAAACGCAAAGAATCGTATCTAAGTGACCAAGTTAGTCAAAAATTCATATCACTAGACATATAAAAATCACAAACTCACAATCCAACCAGTCCAAACTTTCAACCGCGAATGCCGCCTTTGCACCTATTCCGAGAATAATTAAAACGATGCATGATATCTGAATTGGAGAATTATGTGTGGCTTCGGAGCTACCAGAGTATTGGGAAGGAGCAGTTGAATGTTGAAGCTGGGTGAGGCGCTCATCAGCGAGGAGAGCGGGGAAATGCATCTTGGAGTATGATTACGTGCGTATGGATGGGTTCAGGAAAGAATACCCTTTTCAGATATGATAGCAAAGAACTAAGTATTTGATCTATTGTTATACCTTTGGCTTTTTTAAGGTTTCCTCAGAATTAGAAACGAGGTTTCGAATCGAAGCTTGGCGTGGCTTTCTTGTGATATGATGTAGATACCTAGTAACAAACAAGTACAGCCTAGTTGGTATCAGATATCAGATCGTCTTTGGACACGGCTGAGCACGGATAGAGAGAATTGGCGTATGGTAAATTTAGCGAAGCCACATGTGCGTGAGCGGGGGCGGGTAGCCTAGCCTGTAGCACAGTGGATAACTTATTTTAGTGTACGGAGTAGTGGGTAGGAGATATATAGCCCCGGCACAGTGGATAATTGCATCACAGTGAATTCCCCAGTTATTAATGCCCCAGTAAATATTAGGCCCCCAACTTTGATTCTGCGCCATTACCGACTATCGTTCACAGCGTTGGCGAAATAACTTACTACCCCATTGTTGAATATCTGTGTGAATGACTGGTGTCGGTAAACTCCATAAACGGTATCTAGTTGCGTAACTTCCTGATTGGTGATTTGCTCCGGTTTCTGTTTGTGATTTGGGGGCCGTAAATACATGTACCGGCTATGCAACGGCTTGTCAAGTGCTTATGCCTCATCTTATGTGAGATTTAGAGATCTTATGTTGGGAATTCGTTATTGACGGGCACTCCCTTATGTTACTTTGTTAGGACTAGATTGATTTAGTCTATCAATATCTAATTATACACCTGGGTAGAAAAAGTATAATAGATAATGGCTCGCGAATAATTTGAACGACAACATCGCATCACCGCATAATAACAAGCAAGATGCTTAGTATCTTTCCTAAACCCTTACAAGTCTAGACGCGAGGTTGATTTCTCTTAGCCATCCAATGATCTTCATGTAATTTGTTTTAAGCGCTGTGCCTCTCGACTGCTTTCACTATCATTTCAATTCATCAATTGTGGATACTCCCATACGAAAAAGTCCCATATTTCCATTTTCGGGCAATGGGCCCGAACAATTGTCATCAACACCAAAGCTTTGAAATTATTCTCTTCTGGTTTGTGAATATCTTCTGTCTGTCAATAAAAGTTGCTGCCTTTTGTTACTATTCCGTCGACAATCATGGCTGGCTCTTCGTTATTCTTAGGTTTCATCATCCCGGTGGCAGGATGGATTTCATACGTCCTGTATTCTTTAGCTGTCAACTACAACAAAGCTAAGAAAACTGGTCTACCCCTCGTTATCTTACCTATTGATTCCGGTAATCCTCTATGGATGGCCGTTGATACCAGGATTTTACCATACTTCAAAAATCTACCCTTCACCAAAAACTTTACTCGTTTCAATTATCGAGGATGGGAAATTCACGATCGATACAAAGCTCATCAGGAGATAGGCGATGCTTTTATTCTCGTGACTCCGGGCAAAAATTGGCTACAACTTTGCAATGCAGAGACTTTGATTGATATCAATGCACGTGGTAAAGAATTTACTAGACCAACGGAGATGTTGGCCATGTTAAACGTGTTTGGACCTAATCTTGGAACGACCGAGGGAACACAATGGCAGCGTCATCGCAAAATCACAGCCACTTGTTTCAACGAGAACAATAATGAAATTGTTTGGTCGGAGGTCATTCGTCAAGCTACTGGAATGCGAAAATACTGGTCATCAAAGTCCTCCATCAATACCATTGGCGACGACGTACGGACGTTGTCGTTACACGTGATGTCTAGTGCTGGTTTTGGAAAATCATATCCATATCAAGGAGCAGAAGAAGAATCTGACACTCAAGGCTCCGCTAATATCAGAGATGCATTGAAATTGATTTTGGACAATTGTATCGCTTTGGTTGCATTAGGTCCAAAGAATTTGGATAAATGGTGGTTGCCAAAAAGTTGGAAGCCACTTCATGAAGCTACTGTCACATTCCAAAACTATATGACAAATGCATATGAAGAAGGAAAGAAAGCTGCTGCGGACGGAAACACACATGGGAATAACTTGATGAATTCACTTGTACGTGCATCTCAAGCTGAGAGCAAGGAAGCTTCAAGCCAAGGTGGCCTGACGGAACAAGAAATTTACGGAAATATCTTCGTCTTCAATTTCGCTGGTCACGATACCACAGCCAATACATTGGCTTTTGGTATTGCCTTGATTGCTACTCGTCCTGATGTTCAAGATTGGATCGCCGAGGAGATCAACGAAGTATTTGGCGATCAAGATCCGGAAACTTCGAACTATGCAGAAATATTTCCTCGTTTGAAGCGTTGTTTGGCTGTTACTGTAAGTCATCATATGCACCCAACTCACTAGACTCATAACCATTCCAACTCATATTGACCCTTTTTATAGTACGAAACAGTCCGTCTCTTCACCCCCGTAGCCATCGTCAAAACAAGCGGCCCCGAACCCCGTGAACTCAAAGTAAATGACTCAACTCACATCCTTCCACCCCACACCATGATTATTCCCAGTTACTCAGCCATGCACACCCATCCCCGTCACTGGGGTTCCAATTCTCTTGCCTGGGAGCCTTCTCGCTGGATCATCCCCGCTTCAACATCATCCTCAACCCCGGCTACTGAAACCTTTTTGGAATTTCCAAAGGCAAACAATCCGTTCATTGCTTGGTCTGGTGGTGCGAGAGTTTGTCCCGGGAGAAAATTCTCGCAAGTTGAGTTTGTTGGGGTATTGGTGGGTCTTTTCAAGGATTATAAAGTTAAGCCTGTACAGCTTGAGGGTGAGAGTGAGCCGGATGCAATTGAGAGGTTAAAATTGTTGATTAAGGAGGATACCGGGTTTAGATTGCTATTGCAATTGTTACATCCCGAAAGAATGTTCTTTAAATGGGAGAAAAGAGTTTGATAGCCTCATGTGCGGGGTAAGATGTTTTTGTGGAAGATATAAGAGATATGCATTGTAATTATTTAGTTGTAAAGGTATAAAAGGCTCGTCTTATTCTCTCCACTGTGTGTATTGTTATTTGTTTGCACGCGGTCAGCACCGAACAATAGGCTTCGAGTCGTCTTTTGGTTGAAACAAAATTCGTGATTAAAAAGAGGTTTACATTCCACGCAGGTTTTTCAATCTATTTCTCATCATCGATAGTTCGGACTTATTGCCACTTACGAGTGCAGTTTCGCTGTCTATCTACATCATCTCTGACCATTCACGTTGATATCATTGTCAATCTACTCAATCTGAATTGCTACAAAATTCCCATCACGATGATCTCTTGTGATACAGACTTCAAGGAGGAAATAAACTAACGAGACCTAATCAATCTTCCCTCCCTCCCTGGTTAGTATTGTTTGTTTGGCCTGTAAATTCTATGTTTCTCTTGCCTCAGGGTCAGTAGGGTCTTTTATATCGCACTTTCGCATGCATATTTCACAAGCAAAAACTACTGTCTACTCTTTCCTAGTTTTGCATTGACTTTTTGACTATTTAACGCCCTAGAGCCTTTTGAGACTCTCCTATTTTTATAGACAAATCTTTAGCCATTGAGATTATTTGAGGGAGATTCTCTAATTATTCTCACTTCTCAGTATATCTATCTCAAACCTGTTTGTTTTCTGGATTCTAAGAAGGGGAGTAAATGGCTTCACTCGCGCAGTTTTTACATTTATATTGTCATACTCTCGCACTTCTTATTATCTTTGAATCTTCACCATTTAAATTCACTTTGTATCATTTCATATCATTCTGTATCACTTACAATCTATTTCTTCATAGCTCAAACTCTAATCAGTAGAGAAACCCCCAATGTATGCGAGTCGTAGCAGCAGACTCATCTCTTCATAAACTGGCACCATTTTGCCTCTGTTTGTCCTACAGCTCTTCATATTGGTCCTCGCGGCGGTTCTTATACTTCTCGAACTCTGAAAACTCTCCGTTATCTCGATTTTTGTGGTTCATTCCTAATTGGGAAGTCCTCATGCTTCTTTTCGTCTACAGACAAAGTGATACTGCGTATTTCATTCAATGACTGGTCGGCATAGATTTTACTATTCTTTGCGTTACATATTTATTGATTGGCGGACCTCCAATCCTGGAAATGAGATGGTGAATGCATCTCTTGTAACTAATAGGAGAAACAAAATGAATGCATTTCTCAGAAAACTTCTTTTTTGTATAGAGTGGATAATACAATGTTGATTGAGGATTTACTTGTTGTTTAGATATGTTATTATAAACAAAGTATTCAATACTTAGGATTATAGTTTAGAAGTAAAGATCATCAAATCTCGAACTAACTGATATATTCAAAACGTCTGAAATTGTTAAATTTTATTATAAAATTGAATTATTCTTAATTTTCTAATAGCTTTTAGATATTGAACATTCAAATTTTTGTGTTGTTGAATTGCAGTTCGGACTATTGAATACTTTAGCTACAAGTATTATAGCTGATATCCAGAAGTTATACATCTTGCTCCTCTGAGAGTCCGATTCTTTAGATTGTGATTGAAATAGAGATAGTAACAACAATCGCAATCTTTTGTTGGACTCATGAAGACTGAACACTTGCTACCGTTTTCTTCATCTCATCGTTACGTCTTGACAATGTGAAATCCACCCCTTCCCCTCCCCCCAAAAGATTCATTATACGTTTCGACCGACTACATATTTTTAATTTTAGCACATGTGAGGTCGTTACTTGCTTGAATAGCCATACACACTCGACAGAGTCCTGACGTGAATTGTGAGACGAGGAAATGATTATCACTTCAAAGCTTATATATATACTTCCAATGTTCAGTTTCCTGGAATGCAGAGACAGCGCATCATGTCTAATGCAACCTAAGCTTAGAGCCTCCTACTCGTTTGTCTCCCATATAAAACTTCCGCTACTCGCCTGATGAGAGGCTATATACTCCTCCTTAATTATCCAAAGAAGTCACAAGGGTGCTAGATTATTTTAGGCCCAGTGATTGAAAGTTA